TAACAAAACAATAGGCTAGCTGGAGTTGACTGCGGCGAATGAGGTGCCAAGATAAATGAGGAAAGAGTCGATCGCGCAGACACCATTAACCTTTGAATGGTCAGCAATGCTTAACCCTTAGCATCCTCCCCCGTTGAAGGACTCTGGCCTTCAACATTTTCCATAGGCAGAAGTGCAATTTTATTAACGGCTCGTTGTATTACGCCATTTTCTGTCCGGATAAGCGCCACTCTGGCCACCTTGTCTCTGCCAAGAATAACCTCTTCTATACGACCAAGTTGCCATTTTAATGGTGAAAGGTTCTCGTCCTTTAACAAAACCATTGCTCCTTCTCGAATGTTCGGGACCTTTGCTTTCCACTTGTTTCTTTCTTGTAGTATAGTTAGGTAATTCGTGCTCCATTTCTTCCAAAACATCTGCTGCATGAAAGACAAACGCTGCCAACGATCTAATCGACTGGTCTCAATATCTGTAACGTTTGACTCTGGAAAGCTGCTAAATGGCGCTCCGATCAAGAAGTGAGCCGGCGTTAAAACCTCCAAGTCATCAGGATTCTCTGAAATTGCATAAAGGGGTCGAGAGTTGATTATAGCACATACCTGGCATACAAGAGTACGCAGCTCTTCGAATGTAAGTACAGAGAGACCAACAACGCGATAGAAGTGAAATTTAGCCGGCTTTACCGCTGCTTCCCACAGACCGCCAAAGTGGGGAGATCGTGGTGGGATAAAGCGCCATTCGATGCCATCGTCCAGACAGTGCCCCTGAACAGCTTGGAGATGGGACGTGGACAAGAAAAGATTTTTTAACTCTGTCAATTCATTCCGCTCTCCAACAAAATTTGTAGCATTATCTGACCAGATTGTTTTTGGTCTCCCACGCGTTGAAATAAATCGCTTGAGAGCCGCCAAAAACGAAGCGGTAGATAAATCACACACCAACTCCAAATGTGTTGCCTTTGTAGCAAAACAAATAAAGAAGCAAATATAGCACTTGACTGGACCCTTGTTGCGTACCTCGGACTTATAGTAAAAAGGACCACAAAAATCAACGCCGGTTATAAAGAATGGCCTGCATGGCTGCACTCTGTGTTGTGGCAAATCACCCATAATGTGTTCCATAACTTTTGGCTTCAGGCGAAAGCACCTTAAGCATTTGTTGATTACACCGGCTACGGTCTTTCGCCCACCAATCGGCCAAAATTGTAATCGAATTGAGGCTGTTAAGCATTGCGGTCCAGCATGCATAAATTTTTTATGAAAATGTTGAATGATTGCGATGGTAATAGGGTGTCGTTTTGGCAAAATTATTGGGTGGCGTGCTTCATAATCCAGCATTGAGTTTTCGAGGCGACCACCAACCCTTATAAGCCCGAAATCATCAAGAAACGGATTGAGTGAGTATACTGCGCTGGATGATTCAATTCTTCTTTTGGCTCTTAAAGTTTTGTACTCGGGAGCGAAGTGAATCTGCTGGATCAGGCGTAATAAAAGCTGTGTTCCAAGTTTGATGTCTTCAGGTGTAAGCGCGCCATACGTCTTCGGTGTTGTGGGATCTTTTCTTACCATGAACCTGGAAACGTATGCAAAAACTCGTTGCATGGTGCTGAATGAGTTTAGATACTTGCAGCGAAGTGAAATATCTTCAAGGTGGATTGTTGCGGCTAGAGTAGTGCGCCGCCGTTCTGGCATGTCGATGAGAAAATCAGGTGCTGGTGGCCAATCATTCTGATCTCCAAGTAAGAAGGATGGACCGTGCATCCAAAGCTGGGAATTGAGAAGCTCACTTGGGGATGCTCCCCGTGACAAGATGTCAGCTGGATTGAGCGCAGTTGGAATGTGGTGCCATAGCATTCCCTTAGTTAGCGTCTGTATATGGCTGACCCTGTTTGAAACGAAGATATTGAAGTTTGAAGACTCCTCGCGTAGCCACGATAACACGACGGTTGAGTCCGACCAACAGTGTATGCTGCAATCAAATATTTGTGTCTGCCTGACCGAGTCCAATAACTCAGCGAGTAGCAAGGCTGCGCATAACTCGAGCTTTGGTATGGTGAGAGTCTTTAATGGCGCTACTCTTGATTTCGAACATAATAGGCTGGTTCTGACTTCATCGATGTATTGCGCTAGTTAACGACGCTAACCTAAACACTAGATACATACACATATACATATAATCATTATTCACGAACCAAAATACTTACAAACAACTATATGCCCTTTAACCTTGTATGATAACATAATAACAAAGAGAATACGATAGACAAGTATAAACCTGTAAACATCTTTTTAATAACATAAACAATTATATTCGGTGATAAGTAACAAAGCATTATGATAACATAATGCTAAACATGTAAACATCTTTTTATCACCAAACAAACAATAGTTAGAAATAGTATAAATAGATGTAAGTGTAAAAATGGAAAACAGTTCTGGAAATAAAACGAGACTGAAATAAACTCTTGTGTACTTTTAATTCCTAACAAGGACTCATAACTCGCTCGAACATATACACATGCACCGTACGCAGCTAGGCTAGCATCACAGAATGCGTGAAGTTCTAAGTGAGAGTTTGGCATTAGTACATATCGAGGGAAATGAAAATTGGATACTAATTCAAGTTCACCGCAGAAATCGGTCCAGCTCTTGTGCAAATTCTGTGGCAAACTTTCGTCCCAGTGAACTCGTTCTTTCCACATGCTTTGTATGAATATTTTTGCTTGAGTTAGAACTGGAGCTATGAGTCCTAGTGGGTCGTAAAACCGGGCTATTGTTGATAATGCGACGCGTTTAGTTACCTGTCTGTGATTTCTTATAGGTGCAAGTGAAAAAATGAAGTCATCTGATTTTGGGTCCCATACTAGTCCAAGCGCCTTTGTAATGTTCGTGCCATCGCGGAACAGCAGCAGCGGCTCACGGTCAAATTCAGCAACTCCATTGAGAGATGCAGAGACGTTTGAGCACCACTTTCGAAGAAAGAAATTTCCCCTGCGAAGTAGCTGTGTTGTTTGGCGACGAATTTCAATCACTTGTTCCAGGGTGTCTGCACCAGTGATGAGGTCGTCGACGTAAAAATCTCGGCGGACGATCTTCGCTCCAAGCGGGAAGTTTGCTTCTTCGTCTGTTGCCAGCTGATGCATAGCACGAATTGCCAAAAACGCGGCGGGCCTGGTACCATACGTAACAGTGTCAAGTGTGTATGCCTTTAATTCAGCTTTGGGGTCGCCTCGCCATAGGATGCATTGCAAGTAATTATCCGGATGCAAAATGCGTACGCAGCGGTACATCTTGCAGACATCTCCCGTTAAGGCTACCTTGAACATACGAAAACGCAAAAGTGTGTTGAAGAGTTTAGGCTGAATGGTTGGACCAACCATGAGGATATCATTTAACGAATATCCACTGGCTGATTTTGCGGAGCCATCAAACACGACTCGCAATTTCGTGGTTGTGCTGTCAGCCTTATGAACGCAATGATGCGGCAAAAAGAAATTTTTAATTTGTGGTTCCAACCTTGCAGGTGACATGTATTTCAGCTCGGCATATTCATCCATGAATGATGAGTACTGAGTTTTAATGCCGGGCTTCTGCTGCAGCTTTCTTTCTAAACTTAAAAACCGTTGCTTGGCTTGTGTATATGAATCGCCAAGATTAGTAGCGTTTTGATTTAACGGTAGTCGTACAGCATACTCACCAGAATCAAGCCGAATATAATTTTGTTGAAAGTGAAGTTCACAATTAATTTCTTCCTGCGATTGAGTGGGCAGAACTGAGCAGCTCTCGACTTCCCAGAATTGCTTGACAAGGTCATCGAGACTAGCTTCCTTTTCTTTTGACTGAAAACGAACTGCAACTAAAGCCGATGATTTGTGGAAATGTAGTCCTCCATCAGAAGCGACCATCCTAATCTGGTCTTCTGTAAGATTGGAAGGTTCTTGGCTAACTTAATTTGGCCAACGCACATTAGCTCGAAGAATATTGATGCTCCCAGCAAGACATCAATTCGTTGCGATTTATAGAAAAGCGGATCTGCGAGTTTGGCATTCGGCGGAATGTTCCACGAATCGATGTTTAGGTCGAAGTTCGGTTGGTGATCGGTGATGGTGTTGGCGACGATAGCTTCAAAGGGGAAAGTGTAGTCATCACTACGTGCCCTTGCGAAAATGTCAACTGCCCTGTTAGCGACGAAATTGGATGCACCAATACCAGATATGGAAGTGCTTATCTTTTTCGTTTCTAATTTTAATTGATTTACCAGGCGCCATGTAACAAAGTTTACCTGAGAGGCGGAGTCGAGCAGTTCGCTACAGGGAACATAACACCCTGTACGATTTCTGATATGTATAATTGCTGTTGCCAGCAAGACAAAGTTTTCTGAGGATGCAGCTGTGGCTACTTGCTGCACTCTCATCGAAGACGTTGGTGCCGTTTCAGCGCCTGTGTTGTCGGCCGAACGAAGCGATGTAGGTTGCTCACCTTTATGCATGTGTAGCAATGAATGATGTTTTGATGTACATTGCCGACAATGTCCCGATTTGCATTTGTTTAATGTGTGGCCCTGGCGAAGACAGTTGAGACACAACTGTAGGCGCTTGGCTTCCTTATAACGCGAAGCAGGTGATAAGTCTCCAAATTGAGAACAACCATAAATCCAGTGACTAGTGGAACCACAAAACGAACATAAGCTTGAAGATGTTACAAGTGCCTTTCGAGAACTGCTGTTACCGTGAGGTGAACGTTTGCCTGCCACGGAAGTGCTGCTTGCTGCTGGTACTGTGGCCTCCACGTTTTCTAGCATGCGACACCTCTTCTTCAGGAACGTTGCCACAGATGTCCAAGTTGGAAGTGAATTTATTGGCAGATCTTCTTCCCATTTGATTTGCGATTTTGTATCGAGCTTTTGAGAGATCAGGTATATGAGAAATCCATCAGCAATCTGCTCCCCCGTTGCCATCGTTTGTAAAGAGCGCAGATGTGCGTTTAGCTTGTCGCTGAACGAGCGCAGACCAGAAGCGCAGCCGCTCTCCACCTTTTTGAGCGCGAAAATTTCTTTTATATGCGCTTGAAAGTTGAGTAGCCGGTTGCCAAACCGTTTCTTCAAGAGGTCCAATGCCTTGTCGTAGTTGGTATCACTTGGCTCCAAGGAACGAACTGTATCCAAGGCAGCGCCTCTCAAATTTGCCCGCAAATGTTGAAACTTTTCAATTTTGCTTAACTCAGCGCAATTGTTAATAACCGAGTTAAACATTGCGATGAAGTCTGGCCACTCTGTATATTCACCGCTGAAGTATTGAATTTGCAATTCAGGAAGCCGGTTGCGTTGAGAAATAATAAACGATGGAGATGCATCATCGATTACGAATGGACGAGCTGTTGATGAGTGCGCAACGTCGGCCCTGCGATGATTAAGTTCACGTGTGAGCTTGCCTTTAACCTCCATGTGTAACCTAGCGAACGACCAACTGGCTTCACTGGCCAATTCGCTATGATCCTCAGCTTCAAGGCAGGATTGAGCTTCGTCAAAACTCGTGCGAAGGCGCTCAACCAATTCCAAATACATAGCAATGTCCACCTCATCCAAGCTTCTTAGAGAGTCCGGAGACAACTGCTGGTTAATGTCATCTAGTTGCTTCTTTAATGATAGAGTCCTCTTTTTATAAAGAGATATCACCTTAACTGCGTCATCACCAGTAGCACCTTCAGCTCCGGGAAGCATTTTGATTTGCCGTTGATTAGGTGTGCCGATAACCTAGAACTTATAAAGTTTTATTTGCGAAATGGAAGAAATATTCCAATTAGTGCATACGCGACGATTTGATACGTGACGATATCACGTCGGGGTCACCAAAATGTTTTGAGCTGGCAAGCGTTTTTGCCAACTAATGCAAAAATAAAACGATGCGACTACGCGCTATGACTTTAGGTTTCGAGCAAAGGTTTCAAAGTAAAACAGTTTATTTTCTTGCGGAATTTATATTCATACTCCTGTACATATGTATAAGAAGAAATGTTAAGCACTCAAATACTTAAGTGCTTTGTACGTACATAATTGGTACTTCTA